GAGAGTGATAAAGTCCACCCTGAGCCTCCTTTTCTCCAGGCAAAATAACCTGAGTTCCCTCAATCACTCCTTCTCAGACTTGTGCTCCAGACGCTTCACCAGCTTCATGGCCCTTCTCTGGACGTGCTTGAAGAAGTCAAATTGAAACTGGTCACTGAAGAAAGCTCAGGCTTATAAAGAGAACAGCAGTTTTGCTAGACTAATGCCTGAGATTTAATTTTTAAGTAGCATAAATGGTTCCCAGAGATGTGGAACAGGCCAGGCTCTTCCTTGATCCTTGTCTACATTATTGAACATGTTCTGTTAGATACTTCATACTTAGATCTCTTTATTGACCTTAGCTTTGATTTTTCATTTTGCTTTTTTTCATCTTTGTGCCTCTTCAGAGTTGCAGAAGGTCCTTCTGCAGTAGGTGTGGAACCATTGGTGGGACCATGTTATCTAGCTGTTTAATAGGATATACATCATAACAGGAAGATGAGTTAGGAGGATGCTCCCAACCAACTCCGTTAGTCACTATTCCTAATCTGATTGTAGAGATTTTTAAGAGGGCTTTCTCTCAGATGATCAGTCTACCAGAAGTCAGTCTACCAGAAAGGTGGGGAAGAGAACACCACAGACAGGATTCAGTTTTAGGTGGCTGATACAAGCTGAGGTCTTCTTCTGCTTGGATATGTAATCAATGGGTCAGCAAATTCATCAGGACAAAATTCAGGGCTGAAGCCTCATGGGCTTAAAATAGAAAGCATTGGTATTTTCATTTGAGTTGCAGAAACTGCATACTGAAGCTTTGGTCCTAAGCCTGCAATACTTCATACCTTGTAGAACCAGGCATCATTAAATTTTCAATGTTATAAGCCAAATCTCAGGAGCTATTATATCCTGTAAAGCATGCAACTTCCTTCTGGGACTTAGTTAATAAAAGTAATCTGTACTCAGATGTTTTTCTCACTGCTCTGCTGAGTGTATTAATTGTTATTGTCCTGTGCTATAGCAATTACTTTAAACCATACAGCACTTCATATGTAAGAAAGTTACTGAAGTAATTTTAACTTTATTATATATATATATGTGTATATATAAGTGTATGTTCAGGCTCAGCAGGAATGGGCCATTCTGCTTCTGATCTAAACTATTATTCTAATCTACTAATGAGTTCAGTTAACTCAGTTCCAGACTCCCAACAGTGGTAGCTCTGTGCAGGACAAAGAACCCATATTATCTGGTGGGAATGAGAATAAATATAACCACACGAGCTAATTCCAGCCTCCACTGCCATTTGATTCAGTGATAGGCTACCTTTACTCCTTATGGATTAGCTTCCCGGAACCTGAAGAGTTGAAAAGACCGTCTTTGTGTGCTTATTTTTAAATGTTCTAGTGAAGATTTAGACTACAGAATACTGGTCATGCTATTTAAAACCTGATTATCTTTGCAGTTTGCCATGCAAAAGAGTTTACTATGAAAGTACTAGTGGTGACTACAATGTCTCTCTGCCACACAGTAAATATTTTAATTATTTTTTCTTTTAGTGGGGAAGTGTCAAAATTTAAAACAGCACTACACATAATATTGTCCAACTAAGAAGTAGAAGCTGAGCTTATCATTTCACACAGACCACTAGGTTCAAAACTGCATCACTTGAAGTCTGAATTTCATGGAGACTATATGAGTCCAAGGAAGAGAAATTAAAAACAAAATCAAACACTATAAACCAAAATGAAGAATACGGGGAATAAAATGCAAGCCACTAAAAACAGAAGAAGTTGAAAAGTATTTCATTAAAGTAACTCGATGTTTAACTATTAGTTGTAGCATGAGTAGTATGGGCAAGAAAATTTGTTTTATATGTCTACATACATATACTTCAGAAATACAGCTATAGGTATGGAGAGATGATACACATAAAATGTATGCTTAATGCACAATTATATAAGGAATGCTACCAAAATCTGGTAGGTTTACAAACTGAGGTTGCGGTGGAGAACAGAAGTATTCAATAAATCAGAGAAAACAAGATACGTGTCTCAGGTATTTCATTTCTGTCTTAGTACAGTGAAAAATCAGATTATTCTGCAAAATACTGGATGCAATAAATAAGTAAGATTAAACACTGTTGCATAAAGCAAAAGCTTCATGCATATACTGAAGAAGAATTTGGGAAAATCAATAATCACCATTTTGCCTCTAGGGTTAAAAAAGTAGCCTAAGGACTATGAAAACCTTCAAAACCGCTATAAAACAATATATGTTTATTTTCATTTAGGCAGTTTAACAATCCTGCAGTCAAGTCCTATGAGGGCAATTAGCTTACTTAAAGATTTGCTTACAGCAAAAATAATGCACCTGTTACTGCCAAAGCCTATGTATTTTCAGGTGTACCAGTTTTCTCTTTGATTGAAATGTCTGTTACTCGCCTTGATGCTCCCACACAGAGGCAGGAAACTGGATTCCTCATTGTAAGAATACTATTCATTTCCAGAGGCTGCCTCAGTTTAGAAACTAAATAAACCTCACAATATATTCACTGTCCTGGTGCTACTGCTCAGAAAGAGCTATGAATACTATACCCATTTAATCACAGTGTTTGGGAAGTGTATGGAAGGAATAATTGATGGTTTATGTCCTTGTCCCCTATGCAGCTTTGACACAGCTTCCGTAGTTATTAATGCAAAATGCATGCTTAAGTTCTGACCACACAGCATCCTGTTACAGCAGAGAGAGCGCTGTGATCTTCCAATGCTTCCCAAGCACCTGAGATGTGCTAAGATTTACATCTAAAACTATTGCTGAAAAATTAAATTTTATGGCCTCTGTTGCAGTAACATGAGCCCAAAGATAATTTTGTTCAGCATTTCTTGTATCTATCAACATAAGAACCTGTTTCAATTTAACCAGAAATATGACTGTAAACTAATGTGAATCCCCAAACTGACCCTTGATTCAATGTCAAGGAAGCTGGATTAACGTAAGTCAGCCAGCAAAACTGATATAAATATATCCACAGTGGCATACTAACTACCGGTATTCTAAAATATTTAACTTAGAATCATAGAATCATAGAATGGTTAGGGTTGGAAAGGACCTTAAGATCATCTAGTTCCAACCCCCCTGCCATGGGCAGGGACACCTCACACTAAACCGTATCACCCAAGGCTTCATTCAACCTGCTCTTGAACGCTGCCAGGGATGGAGCATTCACAGCTTCCCTGGGCAACCCATACCAGTGCCTCACCACCCTTACAATAAAAAACTTCCTCCTTAGATCCAATCTAAACTTTCCCTGTTTAAGTTTTAACCCGTTACCCCTTGTCCTATCACTACAGTCCCTAATGAAGAGTCCCTCCCCAGCATCCCTATAGGCCCTCTTCAGATACTGCAAGGCTGCTATGAGGTCTTCACGCAGCCTTCTCTTCCCCAGGATGAACAGCCCCAACTTCCTCAGCCTGTCTTCATACGGGAGGTGCTCCAGTCCCCTGATCATCCTCGTGGCCCTTCTCTGGACTTGTTCCAACAATTCTATGTCCTTTTTATGCTGAGGACACCAGAACTGTACACAATACTCCAGGTGAGGTCTCATGAGAGCAGAGTAAAGGGGCAGATCACCTCCTTCGACCTGCTGGTCACACTCCTTTTGATGCAGCCCAGGATACAGTTGGCTTTCTGGGCTGCAAGCGCACACTGAAGCCGGCTCATGTTCATTTTCTCATCGACCAGCACCCCCAAGTCCTTCTCTGCAGGGCTGCTCTGAATCTCTTCTCTGCCCAGCCTGTAGCTGTGCCTTAAATTCATTCAGTTTTCTAATGAAGCCCATGTCCCCTGGAAGTCACGTAAGACGGTTCACCCAAGACTGCTCAGTTAAGCTTAATTTAACTGAATCTGTAAACAACTTCAAAATACAGGAGCCCTTTTGAAGTCACTGAGGTTCCCAGTGCTTTTCAAGTTGCGTATTTAACTTGGGATCACTAGAAACACTTTCGAAACCATCCCCAAGAACTATATTGCAGCTGGGATACTGCTCAGGAAAGTCTTCGCTGTTACCACAGTTTTGTCAGTGCTTCATAGAACTGGACAAGCATGCACCCTAACAGCAGGACACCTGTATAAGCAATCCTGCCAACCTAGTCTGTAATATAATCTCTGAAAAATGGACCACTGCTCCAAATCCCCAGCAGGGAAGGTTTATTGTGTGAATCACAAACATCAAAGAAAATAAATAGGAAAAAGCTAGAGCAGCACTTTAACCTCTCTATCAAATATGTAGATTGAGAGTAACGTACATGAAGTAATCAGTGTGATGGCAGACTTCTTAAATATAGCATGGAACCAAGATATACACTGCATGCTCCAGCAGTATTGAAGAACCTTTGGCAGATATCTTTACAAGACCATTCTGCTTAGAAAATCTTAAGGAGGCCAGTAAGCTAGCTAGTTAACTTTAATATAGTACATGTCTTACAACTCTTTCAAGAAACCAAATACTCTGAACTTTTGATTTAATTGGAGTCAACCCACATTAAAGATGATTGCCAGCAATACTGCCAGTAACAATAATCATAAACAAAGCATCAAACGTTATAAAATAAATCACAGCTTTTCATGAATTTATGTATTTATAGGCCAGATAAGAATATTCTGACTCATCTCCATGAGCATTTCATTCCAAAACAGCCCACTTTTTTCAGTGATACATTACTCAGCACGATTATTGGTATGTGGCCTGTGGGGGAAAGAAAATCCATCCTTCAGAAAACTTTTATTATTTTATACTGTGAACATTAATAATAAGCAAGGCAAACTCTTCAGATGATGCTTACATCTGATCTTTGGAATCTTCTTTGCTTTAACCTTGTCACTAAAGGACAATTTGTTTACATACAATTCTTCTGATGTGCAGAGATTTTCAGCTCACAGCAGCTACAATTGCATGCAAAGACCAGATTTCTAAAATGTGATTCTCAATCTACTTTTCTTTTTCTTTATTTCCCCCTGAGACTTACCTGGTTTCATCAATATAAACTGCCTCCAGCACAGACGCTGCATATTCAATATTCTTTTTTAAATCCACCACATTAATGTCACCCTTCTCCAGCTGCTTTACCAAGCATCTTAATCTGTGAAAACAAAAGAAAATAAAAATATCAGTGGGTTGCTTATATGAAATTTTAGTGACTGCAGTTTCCATTTGAAGTATTGGAACCAACACAATAGCCAATGTAGAAGCAAAAGACGATCACTGCATCTCTTGTCTTCCGTTTGAAATGGGTTTAGAACACACATAATGGCCAGTTGTACATTTTTACAGCTTGCTAAATTTGTAAGATCTGTTAAGAAAAGGCATATACTTTCCAGTAAGACAGAGAGGACTCAGTAACTGCCATCAGAGTGACCTCATATTAATTCGTGACATTACTACTATGCCTGAGTCTCTATTTTGTTTAAATAATAAATAAAACTTTGCAAGTAGTTTTTCTGTGCTTAGGTTGATTATATTTTTTTAATACCCACTGTAGGCTGGTTTTGCTTCATTTAAATGTCTCATTTTCATTTAGGCTTCCAGTATGTTTTAGCTGCAGAATTTGTATTTCTTATTAGTGTGAGCTAATGTGGTGCACCATTGTTTCCATGTTTACAGAAAATTCATCATTATACCAGATGAAAGTGGTGCCTATGGCATTAGAAAAATTCATAATATTTTCCCAAGTGTACTCTTACTTTTACATTACAAACACGGATAGGCCCAAAGGGGATTTTGTAATGCATCAACTCATGCCTCTGTAGCAATACATTTATACAGATAAACTCCTTGAATACCAGATTTTTCCTAAAGTCTCTGATGAACACTTCTGACATTGCTCAACTTAACCATACAGAGTAGTTACACCACTGAGGTGAAATGAAAATCTAATCAGTAACTGCGTAGAGCTGTGACTTAATAGATGCTTGAAGCACAGGTATTTTCCTTCTTTCTGTGCTATATCTCTGAGTTGAAATAATCTATGGGTTTGTATCATGTAAGATAAAGATTTCTGTAAGAAAAGACACATCATTATTTCAACATAATTTTCATCAAATAATCATTTTTACATAGATGAAATGTGAAAAAATCATGGGAAACAGTGAGTTGAAATTCAGCATGAAATTGAAAGAGCATGTATAAGATACAATATGCTATATAACATGTTATACACACTATATATTATTTTTATTGGTCATATACAATATTTGACTTGACCTAATTAAAATGTATGAATTTTAAAAATGCAGTGATATTCAAAACAAATCTTTTATAAAATTGGGATTATAGTTCTGTCATGAAATCACTTTCATGACTTTTCTTTATATTTATTTGGCCTAGGGATGATTATGTCCAAACTTGCAAGGATAATTTTAGCAAATGGAGCTTTAAGACCAGCCTTCTCAGTTCTCTGAAGTCTTAATTCAACTCAAATTAGCATAGAACATAACACAAATAAAGCTCTTAGCAACCATATTTACTCAGTATTTTATACAGTGCATCACGTATCAATGGAATGGAAAATTAAGTGTTAAAAAAATTTCTCAGAGGAGTGAAGTGGGTGGACGAAATACTGTGGACACACATCTCCTACATAGAAATAACCTTATGCATGGCGAGCCAGGTCCAGTACATAACTCCTTCCAATTCAGAGGTACCTATAAACCGAAGAAGCCAATTCATAGACACGCACCTTGCAGTACTCAAAACACACACTGTAACTCTCCTGAGATGTCTGCTCCTCATTGATGCACACAAACATGCATACAGCCCCTCTCGAACAGCAATACCAAAATGAGGTGAGTCTGCCAGCATCATCACTGCTACTTGCAAATAGCCTTCTACCACTTGCACTGTTATCTCCATGTTTAACTGAGCATGCCTCTGAATGGCAGTTTCCAAAGTGGAAGCATAGATGAATTAAAAATGCACAGTGTGGAGCAATATTAGCTCAAAATAGTTTCAAGTTATGCGATTTCCAGTGGTTCTACTTTTTCTCAAGGCACAGACCAGATGACAGATAAGTGGGATCATTTTTATGCTTGTGGTAGGAAAGGAGCCCCTGGGGGAGACTTTAAGCCACTATAACCTTCCAATATCTCACTGCATAGGTGGCAGACAACCTATATAAGTTGCCCCTTGTAGTTCATATTCTAGGAGGATTGTAGAACACAATAACAGACTGGGCAATTTGGAAAAGCTTCTCAGGCAAAGTTAAAGTGATTCTGAAGAGATTTACAGAATCAGAAAAGGAAATAAAATCTATACAATTCAATGATGCCCAGTGACCCTGTCATCTCAAGTATCCACACTTTGCAGACATGTCCTCAAGGGTGTCTGTAGCTCACCCAGAGCAGATCCATCATAGAACCACAGGATAATTTTGGTTGGAAGAGACCTTCACCTGATTCAAGCTCTTGTTCAAAGCAGGGCCCACCTCAAACTTAGGTATAAATTCAAAGATAGATCAAATTTCTCGGAGGCCTTCCACTTGAGCTCTGAATGCATGGAGATTTCACAAACCCTCTGGGCAACCAGTTTCAATGTTTAATCAGCCTCATGGTGGATTATTTTTTCCCATTATCTGACTGGAATGTCCTTTGTGGCAACCTGTGCCCAGTGGCCCCCAACCTTTGCTGTGCACTTCCAAGAAAAGAATGTCTCTACGGTACAACTTCCCACTAGGAAGACTGACACAGATAAAATCTTTCCATAGTGCTGCTGATCAGACACTTGTCAGGTGATAATCATAAGATCTACTACAGAAATTAGAAAAATGGACTTTCAATGCAGCAAAATTAAGTGGCTTATAAAAGTATATGAATGATCTGAATATATTCAACAAACTATGCATTGAAGTGAAATAGCCACAGAGTTCAAAAGCTGACATTTCAGTAATTAAACTAACATTTCAGTAAAGGATAAATATGTCAATTTATATGACAAACTAACAAATGTTAAAGTACTCACAGGCCAGCATACTGCAAGACAAAGAAAATTGTGAAAAAGGGCAAGGAAAAGTAACAAAAAGGAATTATTTAGTACTCCAGCTGTGTCAGACCGGACTTTTATTTATTTGTTTTCTTTAATTAAATGTGATATATTGAAAACAAACATGAGAAATACCATTAGAAAGGCTGAAATGCTACTTGAAATTAGAACTAATTGTATTACCCTTCCTGTGAACTGCGCTACTAAAAAATATTAGCAACAAAAAAAAAACACAAAAACCTGTAGGGGCCACTTTCTGAAATGGATGAATGGATTGTTGGAACTGTTTCAAGGTGCAAAGAAAACTGTATGCAGAGTTAATATGACACAACATGAAAGAAAGAGATTTATAGGGAAAAAGAAACAGATTATTTCTCTCAAGATAACTGAAATCTGCATTTTAAATGCATTTTAAAAGTAGCAGCCCCAGTTTGTAAAGGAGAAAGAGACATCTGCAATTAATAAAGGGAATGGGTGGAGAACCATCTTCTCTCATATTGGGTAAACACCACTAACATTGCTGTGGAATTAAATGCTTTTATGGACAATTCAAATGCACTTTGCTCCTGTCTATCTTTAACAGTGCCATCTGTGAAGTTACTAGGACTAGTGTTTCCCCAGTCTTGACCTCCCCATGCAGCTGATGCCTACGCACAACTGTGGGCACTAAGCTTTAATGCCCACCCAGCAACACAGGAAAGCCAGGATTAAAATAAGGATTTTCTCCTGGAGTAGCCAAAGCAGCTGTGTTCTTGGTTAACAATATCAAAACATGTTCTTGTTTAACAATGTCAAAACCACAAGTCAATTGTTTCCACCTTCCTTATTAAAATTCTCTCATGTTTGAATTAAAGTTTTGATAAATCTGCTGTAACTTTGAGGGTACCAAATTAGCTGAGGGTAGATTTTAGGTTATTTGAGAATGCTTCCTATGACAGTTTCAGTAACTACAGGAAAAAAAATGAAGATAAGGAATCAGTGATTAAAAAAGACTTTTTGCAATGTCATCATGATGAGAAAATGTTTTCCTTTATGGAAAGAAGAAAACAAGAGAATATGTTTGCAAATACTGAATAATTGTCCTAAACTGAGACTAACAAGATAAAGAAAGGTGCCAGGGGTGGGATTACTCAAAAAGGGAGGCTGCAAGGTAGAGACACACAATTTGGACAATTTAAATTTCAGATTTTAAAGATCTTTAAAGCCTCTTCTTTGTCCAAGGAGAAACAAATTACCAGTGCTTGCTGAGAATAAATGAGAGTTAAAGGTGCAGGTTAATAGTCTTCAAGAACAAGAAGAGAAAAATTCAGCCTGAAGTTAACTTTGAACCTGAGAAAAAGACCCAGTGTCTGCTTTCCCAAAGGCTGCCTTTATCTATCTGCCATCTGAGTCTCCCACCATCGAGCACTGCAAACAAACAGCTTTTTAATTTACACATGTGGACTTCACTTTAAACTGGTTTGGAAAATTTGTGCCAAAAAAACCCAGCTTTTGGCACATATCATATTAAAGGAGAAATTAAATAAGTGATAAAAAATAAACTGTAAACTAGCCCTGCTTCCTGTTGTATTTTTCAATTAATGGAAGCCACTGTTGAAGATGGACAACGAACATAGTAATTCTTTGAAAGTAAAAAACACATGCTAATACTAATTACAGAAAAATCATTATTAATATTCAACAATCATAATGACATCTTAAAAATTATCTGTGTTGGTTAAGACAACTCCAATTACAAGTTGTAAATCATTATGTTCCCGTGAACTAGTTGAGAAAAGCCTAACTGTGCCAAATGTTTTAATTCCTTGAAAACATTATGAGCAAATACTGACAATGTGTTAAAAAGTTTAAGGACAGAAAAAATATTATTCTCTGTAAACAGCTGTTTCATGTTTTATTTGAGCTATTTAGTACTTCGTAATAAAATTAAATGAATAATTTTAATCCTTATTATGCAAGTGAATTGACCTTCTAAATGAACATTATAAACTAAAAATGGGCTGGCTGATGTGTAATATGAAATTAAAAGTAAAAAGGAGACAATATGGTTAGTTACAGTTTAAATACCAGGAGTTTTTGCAAATTTTGGTGAAGTGGGGAATTTTC